TTTTATCAAACCTAATGCAGACTGCACTCAACTTGCTGAAAGACTGGTGCTTTCAGGAGGGCTTGAATGTCAACCCAAGCAAAACGGTCATCGTTCCATGCACCAAAAGAAGGAAGATCAAGTTAAAGGAACCCATTATGGATGGGACGCCTATCAATTTCTCCGAAGAGGTGAAATATCTAGGAGTAATCCTAGACAAGGAACTCACGTGGAACCAACACTTGACCAAAATCGTCAATAGGTCAATTTCAGCTCTCTGGATATGCCGAAAGATGTTTGGCCAAACGTGGGGTCTTAAACCAAATATGATCTACTGGTCTTATCTCACGGTGGTCAGACCCATGGTCACATACGCTCCTCTAGTGTGATGGACCAAAAAAAAGGAAAAAACAGCACAACTTGAGCTGCAAGAAATCCAGAAACTCGCGTGTCTTGGGATCACAGGGGCTATGCATACGTGCCCTACTGCAGCAATGGAAGCTATGCTTGACCTACTACCCTTGCATATTTTTATCAAGAGGACTGCAGCTCTCAGTGCATACAGACTGAACTACACTGAATTGGCCAGACCAGGTGATGTCACTGGTCACATGGTCATTCTACAAGAAGTACAAATGGAATTTGCAACCAAACCATATCGGACATAATGCCAGCCAGGCTCAGTTTCGATCATACCATAGTTCTTCTAATCTTTCTAGGAATTCATTCACCTCCCAAGATGGCGGTCTGTAGATACCTATTATACTGAGGTTATAAAGGGTCTTTCAACAAGGACCGGTCGATGTTGTAATTGAATAAAACAAGTGAGGTACGTAGTTTTTGAAAGGTATCAGATTAGTATAGATGTAGTTTTCATTAGGTATTAGATTAGTATATAGGTCGGATAATTTATACGACGCTATAAAAGCAGATGATATTTTATCATTGCTCATGTAAGATGGAAGTAGAGGCCATGGCACCATATCATGAGCATATTTCTACATTGAAACTATTATTGGGCACCAAAGATGTGTATACGACGCTATGAAAGTTCAGAGAACTGGAGATTTTTCCCACAAACTACGTACTTAGCCCACTCGACTGTCTTGGTTTTTCCACACAAACTACGTACCTAGCCCACTCGATTGCCAATAGGGACTAAAAAAACAAAAACAAAAGAAAGTTGAAACAATGCCAACATATTTCTTCTTTGTGGGAAATCAAGACAGTCGAGTGAGCTATATGTACGTAGTTTATTGGCGAAAAATCAAGACAGTCTAGTGAGCTAGGTACGTATAGTTTATGGGCAGAAAATTAAGACAGTCGAGTGAGCTAGGTACCTAGTTTATTGGCGAAAAATAAAGACAGTCGAGTGAGCTAGGTACGTAGTTTATGGGGAAAAATCGAGACAGTCGAGTGTGCTTTTTTCACTTCCTTTTGTTTTTTGTTTTGTTTTCTATTGGCAAGTGATTATCTAGGAACTTGTAAATTTTTTTAGTTTTTTCATCGTATCTCCCGAACTATTGAATTCAGAGAAAAATGTTATACGGATTTGTTGTAGATTCTATCAAAAGGAATAATTTTGGTTTCATAACATTTTCAGATATTTCCAGTTGTTTTCGAGATATTTGGAATTATCTGAGAATAAAATTTTCAACACTTCTCAACAAAAGAAAAAATATTTCATGGTTCAGTGGAAGTCGATGAGCTCCATCTACCGATAATCTTTGTTTTTCAATATATCTTCATGGTACCCTATGGGTCGTTCAATTTTTTTTTTCATATTTTTTACTTTATTTCCTGTACTATTGGGATTACAGAAAAAATTATGGGTAATAATTTGAAGGAAATGTTCCAGTGGATAACTTTGCACTTTTGAGAATTTTCGATTTTTCCATTTGTTTTCGATATATATTGAATTGAAAGCAAAGTTATCCACTGGGACATTTCCTTCAAATTATTACCCATAATTTTTTCTGTAAACCCAATAGTGAAAGTGAAAAATATGAAAAAAAAAATTTTAACGACCCATAGGGTACTATGAAGATATATTGAAAAACATAGATTATCGATAGATGAAGCTCATCGACTTCCACTGAACCATGAAATATTTTTCCATTTTGTTGATTGGAAGATGGAACAAAAGTGTTGAAAATTTCATTCTCAGATAATTCCAAATATCTCGAAAACAACTGAAAATATCTGAAAATGTTATAGAACCAAAATTATTCCTTTTGATAGAATCTACAAAAAATCCCTATAACATTTTTCTCTGAATTCAATAGTTCGGGAGATACGATGAAAAAACTAAAAAATTTACAAGTTCCTAGATAATCACTTGTCAATAGAAAACGAAACAAAAAACAAAAGAAAGTAAAAAAAGCACACTCGACTGTCTTGATTTTTTTTCCATAAACTACGTACCTAGCTCACTCTACTGTCTTTATTTTTGCCAATAAACTAGGTACGGGCTAAGTACGTAGTTTGTTCGAAAAATCTCCAGTTCTCTGAACTTTCATAGCGTCGTATACACATCATTGGTGCCCAATGATAGTTTCAATATAAAAATATGCTCATGATATGGTGCCATGGCCTCAACTTCCATCTTACATGAGCAATGATAAAATATCATCTGCTTTTATAACGTCGTATAAATTATCTGACCTTTATACTAATCTGATACCTTTCAAAAACTACGTACCTCACTTGTTGGAACCACATGTCGTCCACGTCCATATCGTTCAATTCAGGCCAAAAGAAATTGTTAATTATTGATCTGTAGCGCTCGTCATTGACGGTGATGGCCTCGCCAATGCCATTTTCAAAGAAGTACGGACCAATAATGACGCCGCCGGACCCAAATCCACACCAAACAGTAACTCTTTGTGGATGCATTGCCACCTGGCGAACCTCCTCTGTGGGATGTGTTCATCCCATGTACGGCAAATTTGCTTATTAACAAAACCATTCATCCAAAAATGGGCCTCGTCGCTGAAGATTATTTTTCGGCCAAAATCGTGGTCGTCTTCCAAACGTTCCGAAGCCCACTGAGCGAACAAACAGCGTTGCCTATGGTCATTAACTTTAAGTTGCTGGGTCAGTTATATCTTGTACGGGTGCAGGCTCAAGTCCTGGCGCAATATTCTCCAAGTCGAAGTCGTCGAAAGGCCGAGTTCTTGTACACGGCGAGAAATCGACTGCCTCGGAGTCTTCTGCACACTCTGACGGACAGCGTCGATATTATCGGCCGATCTGGCGTTCCTTTGACGTAAGGGTGTTAGTTGGTTGTTTACCGAACCGGTTGTCTCGAATTTGGCTACCAAACTTTGGAGAGTCGACTTTGAAGGGCCACCGCTGTTCCGTAAAATGGGCGCAATGCGCGCAACGTTTGCACTAATGAACACTCATTTTGATAATAAAGTTCAATCATTTGGACATGCTGCTCGATCGTGTAACTTGCCATAGTAATTTGGCATCAGTCACTGAATAGAATACAACAGATTTGACAGATGCCCCCAGAAAAACATGGCCGCCACACACTGTCAACATCGACCGGTCCTTGTTGAAAGCCCCTTTATATGGAGAGATACCTTAGGAGAGATGTATCTTAACAAGGTTAAATGGTTCATTGTCTCCTATAATGTATGTCTCTCTATACTTCATGTCTTGTTGAATGTAGATCGATGAACCTCCACCCCTATTTCAAAGTATTCAATTAGTATATCACATTTTCTTGATTTTGTAAGGCAGTGTATTTCATTAATTTTATTTCTGATCCTTTGTACATCAATATAAACTATATTTAATTTCTATTTAGTCTTTAAAGATACTGTATTTTCATTCTGGAAATCTGGTTTTTCAAATCATTAACATACGTAATGGGAATGATCCTACTCTATTCATTTTTCCGGATTACTATTCTATTATTCTTCATCCAAATGAACTCATAGTTATGTTCTTTTTTATACCTGATTACCTCTTTATATAAGTATTAATTTGCTTTTGCAAGATCATGATTGACGAAAATGTCATCATTGATCCTGCTGCTGTAATTTTCATTAGTTTTTTTGCTTTCATAAATGCCTTCTTCACTTTCTCAGTTGAAAAACACACTTTAATAGATGCTCGCTCTTTATGGTGGCTTCCAATAAGTCTGTAATTTCTCACCTTACCTATGTTATTGGCTCTTAGAGCGCTTTCTAACTTTTCTATTACTTGGTCCACGTTTTTGTTAATTTGATATGGTATGCCATTTATCACCACATTATTATTCTTGAGCTCGTTTTGTTTGTTGAGGTTTCTTTCCTTACTAATGTTTGTTGATTTCAGCTCTAAGCTGTTCATTGACCTTCAATTGTTCATATTTCTGGAATAAATCTGTGTATTTTCTATCAACTGTGTATGTTGGTGATACATTATTATTTATTGGTTTGTTTGACTATTGTTGGTTTTCCTCCGTGCTACTTTTCTTAGGAAGAGGCATACATAACCTCATTTTTTCCGCACTCGTTACAGTTGAATCTTTCACCTAATGGATTTTGTAATTCGTTTGCAAATTGATTCAATTTTGAAATCTACATGTTGATACACTTTGAATGAGACCACTTTCCACATTTTCGGCACTGTATAGAATTACTTTTACACATTTTTGTGCAGACTCCACAATCTGCATTAGCAATTTTGATACTTGCATGTTGCATGTTATATATTTTCATTCGACCTCTAGTTATTTTAGGATATCTTCTTCCCTATAATGTTAAAGTTTTGCGAAAAGTTCCATATTGGAACACCCAAGCCTGCCACGCAACTTGAGTTATTGTATTGATAACATAGGACACATCACTGTTTCTGCAAATTGTCGGAAAAAGAAAATGTTGGGAATCTCAACACTGATTAACCTCAAAGTTCGAATGTTCACATTGGAAATGTTAACCCTCACTGAATTCTGTGGTTTCAAACAAAACCGTCTTGATCCCCGAAATTGCGTTCCACATATCCTCACACAAGATGAACATGAATAAAATATTTCTTCTTTCAGTATTACAATTTATTTACATCGACATATTCATCGTACAACCTCAAAAATTTGTCCCTGCAAGATAAAGAAATTTTCAATTTCGAGCACAACAAAAACACTCCCGACAATTTCCTATGCAAGGAATACACCTCTTCTGGCGGGGGGCACAATCGATGTACAATCATGATTTGAGCCAAATCTTGCAATCTATGCACCATATCAACACTCCCAAAGTTATATTTGCCTTCTGCACGGAATACTTCGCCCAAAATCATCACGGCGTCGACATGTGCTTCTTCCATGAGCTAAAAAAATCATGAACCTCTTAGGAAATCACCATGGGCTTTGTTACAGAGTGACTGACAAAAAGCATACCAAGCCATTGCACTATTATGAATCAAAATTGGGTTAACACTCAAACAACTTAATTATTCCCTAGAAAGGATGCTATGCTGAATAATAGTAAATGATAGTATATTATTCAACAAGCATAAAATGAGGTCTATTATTCACGAAGGTTAAGTTTATATAATAATAATTAACCTGGGTGAATATACTTGGAATAACCAAGCAGAAGAATCGTTCATAAGATGGACTAACAATTTTCAATATTCAATTTTTGAAATAAAAATATGCATAATAATGGAATGAGTGTCGCTATGACTAGAGGCTTTTTTTTGTCACTCAGTACATCACCCATTATGAAATAGATCCTTACTTTGCTTTCATAGCCAGTCAAAAATCCAAGGTCTTTCGAAACACGCAAAACAGTATCTCTATCCGAGTCGCAGGCTGCTTTCAATATTTTAACGTATTGGTCAGTGAACTCTTTGGAATACTCCCTACTAGCACCGAAATCCAGTAACAAGAGCTAAAAAATCGAGTAAAGAAGTAAAAATCACACAACCTCGAAATTATTCAACAGGGCGTCCATAAAGCCCTTCTCACAACTTTTGAACTACTAGATATATTGCATCAATGATAGTTGCAATACTACTTTTTGCGTAAATATCTATCAAAATGGCAACTGGGCGCCAAGTTGAGAGAAATGTAAAAATGAAAAGGATGGTGGGGTAATACCTCAATGAAAAGGTAATCCAATTATTTATTCACTGATGAAAAATTGAGAAAAAATATCTACCAAGAGCAAAATGGCGACACTTATAGTGGAATTCCTGAATCCTGATTGTTGCCACTATCATGTGACTATGCTTGATAGAGAACCAGTGGAAGTTATATCTAGATATATTATACTTATATCATCAGTGTGATCAAAAATGCTGCAATAGGACTATAAATTAGGGTTTTTCAAATACGCAAACTTTCGTCAATGGATGTTCAGGAAAAATAAAGATAAACATGACAGACGCCGTTCCGCACAAATTTCTAACCTGAAACAAATAAGACCTAGGTAGCCAGAGTGACCTAGAAGACGTCTTATTCACGTCGATTTTGTCATTTTTGGTCCACGACCTAAAGATGACCTACAAATGACGTGATATGTCATGACGTCTGATTGTCGTATAATACTGAAGGTCTTATAATGACGTTCCTACAAAGTTCTACATTCTTCCGTTTGACTGAATAAGAAAAAAAACGTTGTTCTCCTACCTTTTCAGCGTCTGTTGCACTAAATTTGTGGATGTATTGTTTCCCTACAACGTGAAGCTCAATAAGCCAACTTTCGTTATATTGCTATCAAAACTATTAGTCCCCTTACATCTCGCTGCAAAATGTAATATACAAATGTGGGTAGCTAACCATAGTGTCATATAGAGATGCAAGGTACCAATTATAGCGCCAGGATTGAACAAGACTGCCCGGAGAGGGAGCATCGACCAAGTTACCACAACGCATAGACAAAGAATTAATTTCATCAAAGGTTTGGGATGTATTAAAATTTTCTATTCCGCATTTTATCGGTCATTCTAGGAGGACTCTCTGACATATAAATATGACGCCTTGTGTGTGGCTGTTACATTTGGACTTAGTTATAGGGTCTCTCATACGTCATTTTAACGTATAAATATGGCGTCTTGTGGCTGTGACGATTTGACAAGATGATAGGGTCTATCAGACGTCATTTTAGGACGTCTACATCGTAATTTTATGATTAAAAAATGTCGTCAATTGGACGTCACTCTGTTACCTCGGCAACTTAGTGTGACAGAGAGAATGACAATGAAAATTATAGTCGCAGGGCATAACATGAAGTTATAGTCATGTTGTAGCCATCTAGTGGCAATAAGGTAGGATACAGAAATCGCGACACACACTGTATGGCGCTGCCATCTATAGTCACCCGTACAGACCCTTACGTCTATACGCTACAGAGTGGTACTACAAGTAAACCACTCTGCTGACAGATGGCACTACCTGACATACTTGACAAGGTTGGTAGAACTGATTATAATTTGTATAGGAAGGTTGCCTCGATCGATAGTGCGGCAAGGGGGGAAACGGTCACTCGTGACGTCACAGGCAGTAAGACGACAAGTTGTCAACCTTAAAGCGACATGTCATGAAATGTTTACCAAATAGAGTATACAAACATGATACAAACTTTTTGGTCTGCTCAGCATATTTATATTAATTTATAGTATATAATTATAAGTAAGTACCATTATAAAATATGGATATTTACATATACTTCTGTATAATACCTTCAATCTTCGAAATGAGAAGGCAATTTTGGATGGATCAGTAGTACAGAGAGGAATACCTAACTGAAATTTTGTTCCAAGGGCTATTTATCAGGTCGTGGTACCAGGTATGTGTGTTTTGAGGTATGGAGCATAATTATGGAGCTAGTGATTACTTATGCATTGATTATGAACCTACTCATCCTATAAATATCCTGCAAATCAGATAATGTGGACAAGAAACTACAGAAAATATAAGAATAATCAACAGATGATTCAGAAGTAGTAGCAGTGGACCAATATTCGTACACAACAGATCACTTATTTTATCAATATAACTCTGTATTCTGAAAATTTAACAAACTTTCCTAGATACCTATAGAAAATACAAGAGGAAATAGTATTTCATTGTTTGATTATATTGTAGTCAAAAACAGAGCAATTGATCGAAGTATTTGAGCATTAAAAAATAACAAAATATGATTCTGAACAAAATTAATGAAAAATAACACTACTATTATAAGTGAACCTATAATAAAGGATAGTTCAAGGAATCTCTCAAATAAACATAGCTCCTCTTCGTTGGGTAACGTACTCTTGCTCAAATATCTCAACTTGAAAACACGTGTGATATCTTCTGATGTCCATTTTACCCGTTCAGCAAGAATCTCAACATTCACAACTGGTCTGGTTCTGATCATTTTTCCAAACTTCCATACTTATGGTGTTTCTCTTGTTGTATTTGGTATTATTGATGGGATTCCGATTCCTACCTTGAGTTTTCTTCTCTTTGGTGTGTGATTTAGCAATTCTGCTTGTGCCGTTCAAAATCCTCGGCATCGAAATGGGCAGAACATATTCGCCAAGTTTTGGTATTAAATGAATCAAAATTACGTCCACAAAATTGAATCCATTTCTCACGAATCGACTCATCTTATGGAAATTAATGGAAACACAAACTAAATTCACTAGTCTCATTACACTTGTACGAATTTTAACAAGAAGTGACCGAACAAATTATCATTTTTACATTTTTAAGTTCAAAATGGTTCAAATATTCGAAAATACTGACAACTGTCAACTCAATACATGCGCCGGCCAATCGCCGGCGTACATATCATACACGAAGTGTACGAGAGTGCTACACTTTTCGTGCAAAAGAAAGGGCCTATTACGTCATGAGTTACTCAAGGTTACTCGCGGGGTGCGATCGAGGCAACCTTCCTCTACAAAATAGTCATCAGTTCTACCAACCTTGATACTTGAGTGGAATTTTTCCACCACCTATTCAACTGATAGATCTCTTAGTTATGAGATCTATCAGAAAATTATAGTAGTAGGAAAAATGTAACATACACCTAGGTAGTCGAAAATATTATACCTTATATAATTCGGTTCTTAGTCCTCATTGCCTTCTTCTATGACACAGAGGTGGGTGATGATTGATATCTAATAATTTTCTAGCCCTCCATCCGAAGTTTCCTGAACTATCCAGACAAGATTTTTACCAAAGGATTTCTTAATAATCGATAGCCGTATATTTTACAAAAATCGAGGTCCATTGTAAGAGTCTCCATTTCAAACAGGATCGATGTTTTCTTTGGTTTTGAATAGAAGATTGAATTGTCTGAGGAATTATTTAATCCCCGTCATTATTAAAGAGTTTTTATCTAATACAGCGATCAGCCGCTAGATGATTTTGATTTGCACAGTTCATTTTGAAAATAGTATTCAGTAGATCGAAAGTTAGGAGGGTGAAAAGTGATTTTTTTTGGACGCAATCACTATTCAATGACACAATTTTATATATGTCCCCAATCGTATTTCATTCACATATGGGCAGTCGAATGTTATGATGGGCTTAAATTAATTACTGGTCCTGTCACCCTCTTGACATTTGACAATTAACAAGCATAGGTCTTGAAAATAATTTGAAATTGCACCCGTTATATTGATTTCGATATGATGTGATATACACTGATATTTTAATAATTTTATATAAAACGTTGATAATCTAAACGGCGTCTAAAAGAAACTAAAAGATGGTTTTAGTATTACTGCAATCTAATATTCAATTTTTCCCTTGTATCACAAAGAGTAACGGGAACATTCGGATTTATTTAGGAACATTTCGTTGGACAACTGAATATGCAACTTTGTTCTAATTCAAATTTTGATGTATCTCTTATGTTTTTCAAGATCCCCATTCTCGAGTTTTCACACCCTGTTGTCACAAACATTATTTTATAGGCGGAAAATTATTGAAAGTAGATCTTACTTGTTTCTTTTCTGGGCTATACAAAAAATTCGCCCAGTTAGGATCTGTTTGCATATATCTGAATTTCATGATTTCCAAAAGCACAAGTTCCATTATTTTCTCGCCTATAAATTCTCGATGTTCCAAATCCAAATCGAAGCACTGGTCAACTGGGATCCCGTCGAGCAACTCCGTTGTGAAAACTTGCTTAGTAGATAGCTCATCTAAAAATAAGTCAATTCATCAATCAAGATCAATATAACAAACATAAATGCTGTTGTTGTTTTTTTTCTCTCCTTTTTTCATTTCTAAATGTTTTCCAATTGTTCAAACTTCCTCGCCGTAAATTTTCAGCCGTTGCATTATTGTTGATTTTAGAACCTTAAAATCGAACGAAAATATCTAAAAAAATATTGATTTGAAAGGTATTTGAGTGATGATCTATTAATGAAATAAAAAAAATTTGTCCACTCGCCTATTGAAAATGTTTTGTTTTGGGTCTACTTCCAATACGGAAATCAGTGTTTCAAAAAAAGTTTACTCCCTTGCTAGGTTAGGTAGAACACTGCATAATAAGTTGGACTTGTTCAGTAAAAAAATGTAACGGCATCCGTTTTCAAGATACAGTGTTGAAAAAAGTTTTTTTTACACTGTTCAACGATTATGTCGAAACTACTGGCCACACTGGGATAAAATTTTGTATGGAGATGTTCTGGGAACTGACTCATCGCATGAATTTATTTTCATATCCGTCTCTCATAGAGGGCATTAGTTACACACGGTTCGTACCGAGTAATTTCAAACATAACTTTTTTGAGGTTAGATTTTTCATACTAAATTTTATATGATCTTGAAAATTATTCAATTCAACACCAACAATGTACTCTTGATAAAACTCAATACTGTGCACCGTTTCCGGAATATTTTGATTCGAAAATAAGCGGATGCTGGTATACAGGGTGTATCTGGATAACACCGAAAAAATTCAAGGGGCGATTCCTTGTGATATTTTAGGATATAAAGTTCATATGAACATGTGTCCTAACTTGCTGGTGCAATTTGATTCGAAATAATATTTCCAGTGGCGTCACAGTGGGTAAATTTATCGATATTTATGGTGAATGTCATTGTACGCCTCGTTTTTCTGTGTTTCATATTTTTATTAGATTGAACGATTGAAATAACACATTTTTTATCCTTTGTGTGATTTTAGTATCTAGCTTATTTTTTGAGGAAAGAATACAAATTCGATTTGACTCCAAATTTCACTGTAGGTGTTTTCAAAACTCAAATTGAGATTACGCAATAACCCCAATCACAATCATTTTGAAATTTTAGGGCTTCCTCAGTCTCCAACCATACTATGAAAGCTTATACAGGGAAGTTATAAATAAAAACAATTGCTACTTCCAACTTCAACATCCTGTATCTCAAAAACGGAGCAAGTTAGGATACATGTTTATGTGAACTTTATTCGCTAGAATATCACAAGGAATCACCCCTTGAATTTTTTCGGTGTTATTTATATACACCCTGTATATAATATAAGTATTATTGAGATTTATTACCTATTTATTTGGATTAAAAAACGATAACATTATTATTAATTTAACAAAGAATCACAAGTAGATACACATTGAGATACATTTTACTAAAAACATAATATTGAATCAGTTAGATTAATGTTCAATATGTCCTCCGTTTCCACGAGTACACGATTCTATATTTTTTTATTATAGTTCATTCAAATAATTTTGTCTTGCAACTCTTCACGTGAATTTACCTCTATAACATTTATCCTTTTTCCCTAAGATACAACCAAACTGTGTAATCCATGTTTTTAGTCCAATTTTTTCAATGTCATTCTTGTTATTCATGTTCAGTATCAGAAATTTATTGTTGTTTCCGATTTTCAATCAATAGGTAATAGTTTTTCATGATACTTTCTCTAATACATAGATTTATACCAGCAACAGTTATCATTTTCAAATTAAAACATTCCGAAATGGTACACAGTATCGAGTTTCATCAAGAGTACCATTTTGGTGTAAAATGAATCACGTTCAAGTTATGTTCAAAACTACTCGGTACGAACTGAGTAATTGGTGCCCTCTGTGAGAGTGAGATATAAAAACAAATTCATGGGATGTGTCAGCTTAAAAAACACATCCATACAAAATATCATGACAATGTTGCTAGTAGTTTCAACATAATGGTAAAAAATGTGTAGAACAATCTTTTTTCTGCAACCGACACAAAAGTCGTCCATTTTAATACCAAAAGTAGCTCTTGAATTGATGTTTCTATTACTGACACAAACACAAGTATGTTGCTAGGTGACACTTTTGGTTCATAGGAGCTAAAGTTGAACTTCAGCTCCTAGGAACTAAAAATGATGTACTAGGTCATCAAGAATAAACAAACATTGTTACGGTTGGTTATTTGGATTGGGACGCAGACCTGATTTTTTTCCCGATTTCGGCAGATTTGGCATTTCATACCCATGCCACAGTTTAAGGAATGGGTATCAGTTAACTCACTCGCCTGAATGTGCCGATCTCCCTACCCCTTGCCTCTCGACCCGCTCAGAGAGCCGTGGCCATCATTCGGTTCCCTGGCTATACATAGTGGCTCTCGCTTTTGATACGTACGGTTATCCGGTATGTTTATTGGGTGCGTCAGAAAAGTGTTTCATTTGGTTGCGGCGATAATGCCTTTCTTTCGACATTTTGAATTCAAACACTCTCTCTAACTTTGAAGCCTTTATGGGAACTGAAAAAGAAATCTCTTTTTTGGAAGAAATGAATGATTTATTCAAAGATTTACGTGTAGAAAATATAGATGGCAAAAATGTTACCAAACAGTTGAAATTCATTTTCGGTTGGCGATTGACTATCAATTCAACATCGTTGAAAATTTAAATCAAAATCTAATAGCTAAACCTACATACTATTTCTTAAGAAAATGTCTTTTAAAACATTCATGTGAAATTTGGAGCAATTTTCATAAACTCAATAATTTAGGTGACAGGGATACCGTTTTCTGCAACCTTAAATCTTATAGAAATATCGTCGAATTTGTTGTAGCATTGGAGGATATTTTTATTCGTGAATTCGAGGAACTGGTTCCTCAAGGAAATATTGGAAGCACACTGAAAAAACACTTCGCAAAAATAACTTTCAGTCACCCGTGTGAAAACTTTCCTTTAGACTAGTTCATTAATTTATATAGTCCGAATTTATTTCACATTGAAATTTGCTAATCGAAGCATAAAAACCGGAAGAGTATCCAAAGTGAATACAAAACTCTCAATACTGAAGCATTTGTAATTATTCCTTATAGAATATGTAGTCAATTATCAGTAGTAATATCCCTGGGACATTGATAATAGACGAGATAATTTTATGAAAATCGAAAGTTCGTTCCTTGGTAACAGCCCGAAGCGAGGGCTGAGGGCTGTTACCAAGCAACGAATTTGAGAATGTTTTCACAAAATTATGAGGCATTTGTCAATGTCCGAGGGATATTCGGCAGAAAATGTTTCGAAGTAGTCAAAGTCGATCGTGTTGTCATAGTGATTGATAATTACACTGAATGTAGTTATCATAATGATGTTGGTTTGATTAGTTGTGTTCAATAATATGACCAAAACTTCACTGATTTCATTGGATTTCTACTTCAGCAGAACATTTCGATTGGGATTTCTCTTGATATACCCATAAGTATTAATTTTTTTTGTTTTGGATTTGGACAATTATTATTGTCGATTTTTTTTTGTAATATTCGAATAAACTTCAATTTTTAATTTATTTCTGATTCATTCGTATACCTATTCAATGCCCAACCACGCCTATCACATGAATATTTCGACCACAGTCAACTTTCGGATCATCACGGGTACATATGCATCGCGCGAAATAATCTTCCATACCCCCGTATCTACAGCAAATTCGCGGAATCGGTGCCGCAAGTAACCGCAAGGAACACGTGCAGCGGCCCCTTCAGATCTCTGAACATGAAACGGCCGACGACGAACGACGAACTGTGCCATAGATTCGAATACACCATATTATTATTATAAACTGATGATCAATCGAACCGCATCAAGCACATTTTTGTTCTAAATTCAACATTGAATATTTTCGCGAAAATTCCACTTATTCGGATGCGGTCTTCTTCATTCTGAAGATTGATCCATTGGGTATATGATAGATAGAACCGCCGATGGAAATACATGTTAACCTCTGGCAATACAAGGTGACAAACAAACCTCTGCAAAATATAGAAAAATTCTCCATACTCCCAATATGATGGAAAATTGCTGAGATTTTTTTCAAGCATAGTTTCATAATTCTCGAGCATATTCCTCGAAATGGTTTCGCAATTTTTCTCCCATCTTTCCAGATATTCGACAAAAAGATTTTTTTTACAAGAAATGTTCTGCGTGGCATATAGCCAGGAAAGTAGTTGTTTTTCTCTCGTTATCTACCATTTTCGTTCATTTCATGAACCATCATGGTAATGACTTTGATTTTCTCTCTTTGTGTGTCCATTGCATTCCACTTCGAGTATTTAGCTTCTTCCTAGTTGAATGAAAAGTATATCTGTTTTTTCTTCCAAACCACAAATTTTCTATTTACCAGAGCTATAGAACGTTCAAAAATTTGCAATTGATTTCAATTCATTTTTCCAATACAGAAAATGAAAAAAAAAAGAAGTCGAGAGTAGAAAGGAGGCCTATCAAAATGAGAAATGTAATGGAAAAATATAAAATTCAACTAATATTCTAACATTTGGGGACGTTAGGCTCTCCTAATATCTGAATAGGTTCTTACCAATAACCGAAGGCACACGATAATCCTCGTACTGTGCAAGAAGATCCCTGAATTTCTTCGTACACTCCGCTTCTCTTACATAATCCACTTCCCAAGCCAGCTCTCTCTTCGCCACCGTCATCAAATTCTCCAAGAACATCCCCTTGGGAAATACGTTCCACATTTTCATTATCCCCCCTAGATTATTTATGTCACTCTCGATGCCTCTCGCCACTCCAGGATACTGGATTTTTATGGCTACCTCTGAACCGTCTTTCAGTTTGGCCTGGTGCACTTGGCCGATGGAAGCTGCGGCAAAAGGGCGATCTTGAAACTCGAGGAAGTTGTCACGCCATGACGGGCCCAGTTCTGAGGACATCACCTTTTTGAACGAATAAAGACTACTAGAATTAAATCATAGCGCACGAAGAAAATCTGACAGTCAATTCCACCAAAACTATACTTTACTCAACATTGGAATTTAAATTGGGACATGTTTGGAAGCTACGTCGGGACACATAGCGTATAATATAATCTTCGAAAGAAATGAAACATAATTTGTGTTATTGAATTGAAAGATGATTAAAAAAGTTACGTTTTGTTTTCTCAGAGAAAATGGATAATAATCGATTTCATTGTTACTTACACATAAAATAGGTCGAAAGAAACAGACGGCGGACACTGGTAAGCCAGATTAATTTTGACAGTTCAATGTAAACAAGGTTTTATCAAGGGCCATGCATTTTTCCCAGTATAATACCGAATGATTGGCTAGAATCATGTATTGCTATTGGTTGAATCAACGAAAACGTCACATTTTGACATATGAAAAAATAATCGAGTAAAATTGGGGGTTCTGTTCGTGAGAGGTAATACTCCCATATCACTGATACGACGTGGCAAATAGACTTTTTCGGCAACCGTCCGGGATGTTCTCACGTTAGTAGGTATAGGTAGGGTCCCTTGATGTAAATTGATGTATTTGTCATCTTAACAGGGTACGAACAGTTCCTCGTCTCCTCCCACTCTAAAGTGTTTGTGAAACAGTTATATACTTCCATCTTTATTCTTTTCTAGGGATAAACACTAGATTTCTGACATTTGTAGTCTTTAGGTTATATTGAGGACATTGGCGTATCATACGTAATTTCCACATGTAATTTCTCATTCAACTCTACATATTATATTCAAATGATGATGATAATTTTCGAGTTTTCGAATTTTCAACTCCAGCATAATCTTTGTGAGGCAGTGAGCAAATTTCAATACGTTTCACCAAATGGGATTGTTCTTAGGCAGTACCTATCAATAAATGAATTTTGATTTCAGACTAAGCCTTATGGTTAAGAAATGATGAAAAATTGTATAGTGGTATTTAAACTAATGTGCTCATATGTCATGTTTGCTGTCATGTTGGGAATCATTTTTGCAGTTTTTCACGAACACTTTATATTTCCTGAATGTAGTTATAATGTTTTGAATGGTAGGGCATATGGCTCTTCTTCTAATCCTCCGTTTCAATCAAAACTGATTCTACTAAAATGCATTCAAAAGCTTGTGGAGTGGATAATTATAGGCACAGTGAGAAAGTCTAATATGTGATTTCGTATTAGTTTTACTTCGAATATTTTGCTGATGTATTCACCAATTTTCCCTATTCGGTCACTTCACTCGCCATGTTCTAAGTTCATTTGCATTTGATGGAAAGCTGACAAATTCAAATTTGCCATTCAACTTGTAGTGTATTGACCAACCTTTACGAGGTAGTGTAGTGTATAGACTATCCTTTACCTATCTATGCGCACGCACCATGTCACCTGCTATCATGTCAGGTGCCAGCAGTTTATCATTGATACAGCCTAACGCAGCACATTTTACCATCCTTCCAGAACAGAATTGAATAATGTCGTATCAAGATCAAGTATGAAATTAAAATTTTGTAAGATCTCTTTTAACGCCTATGAATGTGACGCGACAGCAATGTCATGCCAGGGACGCCAATACCCGAAAAAAGTCACTAGATGATTAAAAGAGAAATGAGCTATGATCTGTTCGTACCCTGTTAGATGACAAATACGTCAGTTTGCATCAAGGGACCCTAGGTATAGGTATTCTGTTCAAATTTTAGTATTTGATACAAATAAGAATTAATAAAGAAGAAATTGTATTCTACAAATAAATATAATATGGAAATGTGTCTCATTGATTTGTTATTCTACATGGTTGCCGAAAAAATAGTGTACGCAACAGTTCCAAAAACAGTTTTTTTGGACTCGCAGACTTCCAGGACTCGCCTACGACTCGGCCTAAAATTTTGTCTACTCGTCCAAAAAACAGTATTTTCCGGACTTGTTACGTGAATTACTATTCCTGGCTATTTGGGCGGACGACATCGCCGAACGTGTTTGGTGGATACAGTGCGATGTGTATTGTTGTCAACAGTTCTTCAATTGAAAGTTGCTCAAGTTAATATGATCGACGAACATTATGGTTGGATCGGGGACCAACCACCCACGCGTACTTTACTGTCAGGGTGTAGAGTAAGTGTTTGTCATACATCAATGCTCGGATTTTATATTATTTTTTAAATGATGACAATATACAGGGCCACAGCGCATCGTATCCACTATACACGTTCGGCGATGCCGTCCGCCCAATTTTTTTTTCTTCTCAATATCAGTAACTTACGACATACGCCCAACGGTAAGTTATGATTCGAGACCCCGGGTTTCTTGATACAACTTCATAATATACTACTTTCTCAACGAGCTTTATTCGAAAATGTGGACAAATCTGGAATATTTATATTTTCAAGGCCAGCTGTCGATTGTCGAATGTGTCAAAATTTCGAAAAAGCCTATTAGGCAAATTTTTTCTCGAAACAGTGACTAGCCAATTCGATTCAGGCATTTCTTATCTTAGGCTGTTAAGCCGGGATTGGCGCAGTGGAAGAGCGTCTGTCTCGCGACCGCACGGTCGTTGGTTCGATTTCCAGCACGGGCAAGGAACTTTTTTCAATATTTTATTTACGAATTAAATATTGTAAAGTTTCGGAGCATCGGCTGGGGATAGTCCTACACGATTCGCTGTTGCGTTCCAATTAACAGTGCTACTCCTAAAGTGGCGCATGGAGTTAGTAACAAAGCCTACACAGAACACGCAGAAAGATATGATGATGTGGTTGTGAGCATCAGAGAAGAAGTAGGACGGTGTATGTAGGTGGGTGTGGAAAACTACCAGCTGAGCGTGAGAGCGGGCCAGCTGCTTAAGTAGACCTCGGTCTCGGGGGTTAACGATGATAGTTAGCAGGCCTGCCACTGCGCATATGGTAGTGAGTACATTACTGGCCTACAAAACACAGCTGAAAAACTCTGAAAAGAGAGCTGATGGGCGGTGCCTGAAAAGGATGTTAGCCAGATCTCTTGAGCGAACCACATCAGTCATTGAAAACACTTGGGGTTTGCAAAAAGGTCCCATTGGGGACTAGTTGCTGACGTGGAAACGTCCCCCACCAGTACCAGTACCAGTACCAGTATCTTAGGCTGTTAGGTTAGTTATTCAATGGCAAAATTTGATATTTTTGATTTTTCGATCCACCCTGTATCAAAATCAGAGGAGTTAGTATAAATGGTGAAGTAGGCATTCAATGGAGGAACACATTGAATACTCAGATAGGGCGTTTCATTGTTGTAACTCCTACAGGAAGGTCTCTCTAGGTCAACCAAAAACAATGAAAATAAGGTTGAGGTTCACCATTTCGAAAACTCGAGTAAACCGTTTTTTAAACACTTCACCACACAGTAACTTTGGAGAACGTTCGATTGATATTGACCTTTCGAATATAACACATACAATGACAGACAAACACTCTCCAAAAAGTGTAAGGAGATTTACTAATACTCAATGTGATCATAGCTCAATACCGATTTTGGCGAAATGGAAAGGAAATTTGGGAGAACAATGAAAATTATCATGTATAGAGGATATTCCCTAGAATCAGTTACCATTATTTATATTTCCAGGAAAAAAGATATGGATTATAATGAAAAATGCATGGAATTTTTTATTTTGTAAATCGGTCTACGGGTTGCAAATTAGCAGGATGTTGCTGGTTGAAATCACACACACTGAATACCCATACGCCATAAGCGTATTTCTTTAGTTTTTCAAACTACTATTTATTATGTTTTCTATTCGTTTCCTGAATTCATCACAATTTCTATTTGAAAGTCTGAAATAAATTTTATTTTCAGCAAGTTACTCGTTTCACTTCTATTTTGAATTCGTTGTTTTTTTTTTGTTTTGATATTCATGCTGTTTAAAAATTGTAGGTTCAGCTTTTTCTCTCAAATACAGTATTTCTTAAGTTAGAAATAGCCCAAAACTTATTATTTTTCCAATTTGTCCTCAATTTGACAAACATTTTTAGTATTGTGGACTGATTTCCGGTAAGTATACTTCGGAAATTATTACAAAATGCCATTACCCCCCTTGAATCGAATTCAAAAACTATCCATATCGTTTCAGTTTCCCAGTTCAACGAAGATTCACAGCTCACCTGTTCCACTTGCCAATTGGGCATAAAGTCAGCTGACTTCCTGACCCTCTCCAAAGCCTTCGCCAGATCCGAGTTCACGATCGACTCGTCCTGTATGCTCAGGATCTGGCCCAGCTTCAGAGCGGCCCCTCTGACCTTACAGAGCGTATCCACGATGCGGTCCATGTTCGCTTTGCTCATGAACAGACTGGAAGCGTCCGGCGGCGTATCGGACATGCCGAAAGATCTTTTGGCGTACTCTGTGGCCGTTCCGATGCCGAGGCCTGCGGCCAAGGTCCCGAAAGAGACCATGCGGCCGATTCGGGACGACGGTACTTTCCTTTGTTTCGCATGGTCAGATAACTGGAACAATAGAAAATATAGTCTGTTCATATTGCACGAAAGTTCTTGGTCGGATAACGTGTGTCAAAATATAAGTGGCTTCGAATAGTACATTGTGAGCGGTGAAAAATTGTGCAAGGTGGCAACCCTGTAAATGGCGACATGGAAATGAGCAAGGAGACGGCGCAGATGTTACCGGCGGAAATACGGCAATTGATAATGGGCCTTTTCAGGCATTTCTAGAAAAAATATATCTTGAAATATATGGCTCTGGAATACCATAAAACAAATTTCCGAGAATTTTTGTCTATCAATTTATCGTAGGAAAAAGTTTTGAAAACGCCAAAATGAACGAGCGAATTCAAGAGATCAGACATGGCTGCGAAACGTGTGACGTCAGTGTGCGAGCAATGAGGATTGGTAATTCCATGACCTTCTTGCGGGTGCCAATAAAATGCAAGATTGACTTGACAATGTTGCCAATGTAGACATAAAGCTAGTCGGATATTCATTCCTCGATTCTTTCATTTAAGCAATAATAACTCATCTAATAACCACTTTCCTGAAAATTCGTGTTATTAAAAGTTTGCATTGCATGATCATTTAGTTGGTTGATATGTGTTGGAGAATTTTTCAAAATTGTAAATGAAATTTCATTTTGTATCGAATTACAGTGCAGATATTCATGACATTCGGTGTCAAAACCCTTCTAGAGTACTTTCAAGTTTAGGTACTCACATATTATGTACCAACCAATACCTATCTACCACAGGGGAAGAAACAAATTCTGAATCAATCAATACTGAATTGCTCACTTGGTTCTATTTCTATTTATTACAGTACAGTTGCTTCATCTCTTTCTCTTGTAGACATGGTTGCCAGATTAGCAATGTAATTTTCCGAGAATGAATGCTTGAGATATAGTAACATTGTTCAATTTGTTGATTATAACAATTATTCGAACAATTATTAGTCAAGGAAATTTCAACATAACTAAAACCAAACTTATAAAAAGTGTCTTACGGTTGCATGCATTACATTTTATCCTAGCTAATCTTGAAGGTAATGGAATACTTTGGAGTCAGAGTAAATTGAATGTGAACAGCAGTGAATTAGAAATCAACTAATCACCTACTACATAATAATTTCCAATCATTGCATTCCATGCACCTAGGATCAATTCAAGGATTTTATAGAGATCTGGCAACAGCGGAGTGATTCCCAGCCGTCAGAACTCCAACCAATCAAATTGCAAGAAGACACTGACGTTTGAATTCACAGGTACTGAAATAGCATTTTCAATATTAAATAATTAATTTGTCGTTCGATTTTCTCGATAAATTGTAGTCCGGATAACGTTTTTATCTTCCCTCCATAACATTATAGCGAAAAAGGGTCAAATTTTACAATACAGGAAAGGCACATTGACAATTTATGTAATTATATTAAATTACAAGGATTTAACACTCGTCACAGGACACAGATACACTATACAACTGAAATTACAGGCACTACAATATAATAAAATAAGTGAAAAAGAGCAGACGATAATAAATCCATGAATTCAAATTCAAATTCAAATTCGAGCTTGGTCAGTGACAATTGCGATACGAGAAACCTTTGTTAATTCAGGCGAATATATCAAAGTGATGTTCTTTTGTAACGGCTAGGAAATATTTATTCCATGAGAATAGAAATAAAAAGTTACCATATATATTATTTTTTTTAACAATCAAGTAAATTAGAACTTCTATAAACAAAGCTATGTGATATTTTTGAAGAGGAAATCTAATGTCTCATTACATATTCTAAGGGTTCTCAAGAGGGTAAAAGTGGATACTATAAGTTCCTAATTGAATAAGGTGACCAATTTTTTTGAAAATTCAGACCAGTACCTACTCGAAAAACGGAAAAACCCGACTCTGACACAGTGGCGTTCATTTCAGTGAATACCAGGGAGGCAAAATTCCCTTACGGAAAAATTGCACCGTAGGCGAATTATTGTTTGGGTTCAAGGTAAAATGCCTTGAGATTGAAAATTAGATTCCTTCCAGATTGATAACTCCATGTTAGTGTAAGTATATCAAGAGGTGGTCAAGAACCTCGGACATTTTTGTGTGGTAAAAAATGCATCGCAGGCGAACTTTTTGTTGGGGTTAAAGGTCAAGCGCCTTCAAATTGAAAATAAGAGTTATTTCATATACAGTGTGTTTCATTAATAAAAGTTCTAAAAATGGCCGATAACGATTCGTTTCCGAGATACAGGGTGCTCAAGTTTCTTAAAAAACACTATTTTCTATCAACTTTCAAATTGACATTGGCAATCAGATTTTGGTTATTACAGTTTTTGTCCTCGTTTTTGTCTCATTGGGTTCACATGCATAGGTTTGGGTTTTGTTTATCCTAAAACGCAGCCAGATACAAAAAACCTAAAGAGCCAAAAGTGAAGTATTTTGAAATGCTTCAATCAAAAAAATTGTAAAAATTTCAAAAAAATCTACTGGTTTTTATTTTTTGTGCACGTCCCTGATGATACTATACATACACATAGTGATTTCAACAGACATTGTGAATTTTAGTACTATGGGTTCAGGCATATTTTAGACATCGATAAAAAAATCGAATATTTAAGGACCATGAGCACCCTGTGTCTCGGAAATGAATCATTTTCGGACGTTTATATGAACTTTTTTTACCCAAAAAATATGACCTCGAAGTTTTGTTCAATATTAATGAAACACCCTGTATTTATCACGATTTTATAATGAAAATTAGCTGTTCGGCCCGGCATTTGCATTGTTGGTGTACCCATTTAAAAAAAAATAAGTCATTTGTTGCATGTACAGTACATATTTATTGTCATTTTGTTCAATTTTTGTGCTCAACTTTAGCTACTATTATATAGTTACAACTATTTTCATTCTCTCAGTTTGTGAAACCATGGAAATACACATACAAAATTTCAATTGGTCAAGCCGTTTAGTAGTTGACGAACCGACAGCAGCGCCACCTACCGCGTCCAATTGTATTGTTGAATCATCCAGGAAACCATCCAAATACCCATGTGAAATTTCAACCCAATTGGTTTAGCCGTTCAAAAGTTATGTGAAAAAGATAAGTATGGAAGGATAATTCTTTCTACCCCTTGTCCTATTACCGTTTTCCCGAAAATAGTTATTTGTTTAACTAGGCAGCAAAGTAGTAGATTGACTGCCGTGGCTGAATTCATAGCCGAGCGTAGCGAGGCTAGGAATCCAGCAAAGGCAGTCAATCTACTGTGCTGCCGAGTTGAACATATGATTTTTTCTCCGATTGTTCATAATGATATGGGAGAATATTGTGTTTGCGAATTAATACAATTTCCACAATCTCTTTATTCTTCCTGTATAGTGTTCAATTAAAATAAAATTTGATAGAAATCGTGGTTGTTGCTTTGACAATTCATGAAATTTCTGACAGTTGTGCGAAAAAATATCGGTATATTTAAATTATTATATAATGGACAGTGATAGCGACCTGGAAGTATACTTTTACACCTCCATTAATAGGGGAGGTGGCAAAAAATATAGAGTTGAATTTGTTGCCGGAGAAGTCTCGGATGAAATATGAAGGAAACCATAAACGATTTATGGATTTTTAATTTTGCTGATACATATCAATCAGCAAAGTAACCACTTTGCTGCCTAGGCAGCAAAGTACCCACTTTGCTGCCTAGGCAGGAAAAGTAATACTTTGCTGATTGATATGTGTCAGCAAAATTAATATTTGCTGCCAATCGGAGGAAAATGGAACATTTTCCCATGGTAAAAAGTAGCCTATGTTCATGGATAATGTAGGCTTGAAGAATTTGGTTTCAGAGCCTATTGGATACAAAAAACAAAGGGACAATCGAACAAACAAGTCTTTCTCCTTTATAATATTAATACAGCATCAATCACTTTGTTGTAATTGATATAAAATGATCTGAAAATAGGAACAATTAGAAGAACAAGTGAAAAGTACCTATTTTAAATAGTGTATGTAAGTTAACAAAGCAGGTGGATGTTCTCCAGATGTTCAGTTTGATTTAACAACCCTTCATGACTCATTACACAAAATTTATGATTTTGTTTACATGCTCCCAAACCAGTACATTTTGTGTACTGGTTGCATTTGAAGTCTAACCAACACATGAGGATCAAAAACCAGGATTGTACTGGTAAAACCAGTATGAATGGTCAATTTATAATTGAATAATGTGCCTTTTTCTGGAAATTCAACATTGGAAATTTTATATGTACCATGTAATGATTGTAATGTTCTATAAAAGGTTTTAAGTGCCAAAATTGAATTTACATTTATAAGAGCCACTCTTAAATGTCCATAGTGGTATGTGCCAGAGCATTTTCCTTAGGAAGGCCCTAAGTCAAATATATTTATCACCTTTTCTTTTATAAAATGGCTATATTTGATACAAAATGACTGAAAAAGATTGGAATATTATCCCCTTGGACTGAAATTTTAGATGAAGATGTCAGATTTTCCAGAAAAAGCTGAAAAAAATTTTTTGCATGTTGGTGGACATTTTTCATGTAGCATGTAGGGGCCTATCCAAATAGGTACAATGCTTTGGCAGAAATAACAAGAAGCATTCTTAGAGGCAGTTTTTCTTTATTTGGGTAGGGTATGTAGTGCTGACACTATCAACAATTATTTTTGTTTTTGAATAACCTAATATTTTATACTTCATTACCAGACATAAAAATGATTTGGCAGTCATAAAATCAAAACACAGTTTCTATAAAAAATCGCCTCTTGGGGCTGGAGCTTCATACTTTAATAGGCTTCCCGATTATGTAAAAGCTAGTCCTAATTGTGAAGTTTTCAAAGGTAGACTGAAGAAAATATTGATACAAAATTGCTTTTACAATTTGGAAGAATTTGATAACTTTCTGTCCAGTTTTATTTGAGTTTTCACTGTAATTTGATTGTTATTGTTTGTCTAATCAGGAACAAATTCCTGTCCAATTATGTGAAATATTAGTGCTGTACCTCTGCTATTTACTTTTACTTATACTCGTATAATTGTTTAGGACTTCTTATTACCTGTTCTGACTCGTCCATTGTACTATTTGTAGTTTTGTATTATTTATAATTTAGTACTCTGGCGTTATTCTAGTATTTCTCATTACCTGTTCTGACTTGTCCATTGTACTATTTGTAGTTTTGTATTATTTATAATTTAGTACTCTAGCATTCTTTATTACCTGTGCTGTGCTGACTGGTCCATTCTATTATATTGATAGTAAGGAGGATTTGATAAATACATACATACATACAATTATATTCTTAATTATAACTGATTTAAATTTTAAGAATTCAAAGTGAACATTAGTTCAGATTGTGGAAAATTGAAATTCTGTAATTATTTATCTATAGCATAGGTCTGCATAGGTCTAAATTCCTATTTCTTATTATTGTTGTATTGTAGTACTACTTTTTGACTTATGGACACTATTTGTATTTCAGGTGCCTTCAATTATTTTAAAATGACTCTTCACAGTGGAATGGTTAGCTAATCAATCCAAATGAATAACATTGAAAGTTTCATAACTCAATTATGACATTCTTCTCCATCTTTATTCTACATTTTTACCTTTTGCTTTGATTTGGGATTTGGAACAGAGACAACATGAGGACTTGTGTTCTTAGTAGGCCTATCAAGGTTCTGAACAGATGTCTTAGAGCTTCCAACTAGTTGCTTCTCATCACCAACCACATAATCTTGTCTTTCAGTTGCTTTAATCAATTTTGCCCTATGTTCCATGTCAAGTCTTTGTAAAAGCTCTTTATCACTGTCTGTTAATTTGATTTTGTAAATAGGATATTTAGGGGTGAAAGGACTTCTGTCTGTTTTCTCTACACTAGAATATGTTGGATTCGTGATATTGTGTTCCTTTTCATCTTTTGTTGGTATAATCTGTTGGCTGGAATTTGCTCCAATTGATTTTTGGTTAGTCCTCTCATTAACTTCTGGAGAAATAATAGGAACACTATGCTCTGAAATGATTAGGTTTACTTAACAATGCTATAAAATGACTATTATGAATGAATATGTTTCACCATAACACCCACTGATATTTCCATATTAGTAGAGCTGGATTGATATTAGTCACTATTGCCTCACCTTTTTTGGAAGCCACACCTCCATATACCAGTAATCCCTGAAAAACTGTGTTTAGGCGTTCTGCACCATCTTTTGTTATATCACCTATTTCTTGGAAATTGAATCTATTTTCATTTGAAAAATTCTTACATGACTCCAAATAGCTTCCTAGAGCAGGTGGTATACTAGAATTTCTCCAAAGGTAACACAAGTGTGTTCCTTGTAGTTTTATACCTGCCTCAGCTATAAGTTTGAATGACCTCAACAGACAAGTGATATCTTGTGCACCAGACATTTCTGATGTTAGTACTTCAATTCACACTCTTTTTTTTCAAGAACATTGATGCATAATATATTATTATTTCAGCACCACTTATGGAAAGCTAAAATAAATTCCACAAATCCACATTACCTTTCAACAATGGAGCTCAAAAACATGTTTAACCACTGAATGTAATTTAAAAAATCTTAAAATACACCACTATATTTTTTTTCTACTCTTTCTCTATGGTTATCAACTACTGGGAACACCACTGCCTGTTTCTTTTTTCTTGCATAATCTTTTGAAAATTGTGAAATTAATTATATAACCTCAATTCGATAACCTGGTGGTGCACTGGTTTTGCACCAGTCTTGCACCAGTTCTGCACTTGCACTGTGTTAGTTCTGAGTTAGTTCTTTCCCAAAGACGGCTAAATATCTAGACTCTCTGCCGAGTTATCGTCAGACAGTCTAGATATTTAGCTGTCATTGCCCAATGAAATATTATTTTTTGGAGGTTCAATCGAATAAGTAGGTTTATCTAGAGTCACTGGATTGTATTAGTTTGATAAGAGCTCAGACACAGCTGAACTTTTTTCCTTTTTTATCTTCTATAATACAATGGTTTGAGTGAATAAAAGAATAAGACATATATTCTGCTCTTTGTAGCGCCTGATTGTCAGATACGATTTCAGAGGTTATATCTTCTGTCAAATCAATCATAGCCGTAGATGGACAATGGATATAGGGTACAAACACCCACTTCAATTCATATTGAATTAAAGGTAGGTATTCTCACTATACAGGAAGTAACATGAGTACGTTCAAGTGAAGTTTTCCTGAGACAGTTTTAAGAAATAAAGTCTATATATAAGCTTGTGTCCGGAAATGCTTCATTTCGGAGATACAGCGGTGTTGAAATACAGAGAACAAATCATTTTTCGATAAAGATTTCATAGGAAAAAAATAAATTTATTGTGACGAGACCTACTAAATACTTGGTTTTGTGAAGTTCTCAGCAACTTCACTTAGCGCCCTAGGAGCTGAGTAACATGGATCGATATAGAAAATATCTCCAAAACGATAACCTTCAGCGTAATTGAGGCCATTATAATAATTCCCTTGATACATAAATATTTATTTACTTTTCACTGTTGAATTTTGGATTCGGTCGGCGCCAAAAACGCCATTCAATAATATATCACGTTGTAGTTTACTTGCTTCTCTTAGTTTCGTTTTCAAATTTTCAATTTCATTATGTAATTTTGCGATCATTTCTCCTCTTTCCATGATTATTTTGTATTTTGTTTGATGATAATAATGAAATTTTGTTCTTGAAACCGTCAGCTTTGTTAATTGATATAGAACATCGAATTCTCTCAAACAGATTTTGAAATCTTCTGTTTGAAAATGGGCCTAAAATATAGATCCATTCTAATCAGATGCTGTTATAAGAAGTGGATTTCAATGAGTACCTCACAAATTTCGCTCTTCTTCAAATTGATTTTCCACCAAGGCCGTTTCATATCTTCCTTCCATAACTGAATGCTTGATATTTGATTTGGAAAATTGAATAAATGATATCCATTTGTTTCAGAATTGGCACAATTCATTACACAGCAAGTGATTTCCATAGCTGCTTTTATCTCGAATGTATAAGAATTATGGAATTTCATTTCAATTCTGACGTTTATAAAATTAATTGTCAAATTCAAACAATTTTGAATGAAAAAGCGCGGGACGACTATGGTGCTCTTGTCACAATGCAAGGTGTGTAACTTAATAAATCTGAACATTCAAAAACCCTAACCATTGTCATTTCTGTGTCCGAACTCTTATCAAACTAATACCATCTAGGGTCCCTTGATGGAAATTGACGTTAAAGTCATCTTAACATCCATGGTTTATCCCCAGAATTGAATAAGGATGGAACTATATAACTGTTTCACAAACACTTTAGAGTGAGAGGAGACGAGGATCTGTCCGTACCCTGTCTAGAGTCACTAGGGAGTTAAAGCCAATACAAAAACTTGCAATTACGTATGCACGTGCAGAAACCCTAAATGCACTTGGCAGTCAGAACAGATTGACTCTAGCATGGGTACCAGCACATAAAGGGTACGAGGGCAATGAAGAGGCAGACTCACTTGCCCGAGCAGGAGCAAACAAAGCTCTCAATGGCCCAGAACCCTTCTGTGGTATTACGAAAACTATAAAAAAGACTAGTATCAAATTATGGATGCAAACTAAATATTAATAATGGTGGAACAACTCGCCAGGAATGAGAGGCAAAAGAGTTTATTAAAAAACCATCGCCAACATTCATAGAATATCTACTAAGCCAGAAACGAAGTTCAACTAGAATACTAGTGGGACTTCTCACAGGGCATTGTAGGCTCAACAAACACATGAGTACGATAGGTCAGACTGAAGATGGAAGCTGCGGCAAAAGGGCGATCTTGAAACTCGAGGCAGTTGTCACGCCATGACGGGCCCAGTTCTGAGGACATCACCTTTTTGAACGAATAAAGACTACTAGAATTGAATCATAGGGCAGGAAGAATATCTTACAGTCAACTCCACCAAAACTATACTTTATTTAACATTGGAATTTGAATTGGGACATGTTTCGAAGCTTCAAAGCTTCATCATCAGCAAAAATTATTTGTTACAGGAAGTACTACAATAAGAAAGACAAACAGCTATGTCGGGACACATAGCGTATAATATAATCTTCGAAATAAACGAAACATTATTTGTGTTATCAAATTGAAAGACGATTAAAAAAGTTACGTTTTGTTTTCTCAAAGACAAGAATCTCACTGAGCTTAGGCAAATACGCGACGGTGTTTCAGGCAGAAATTATTGCAATACATCATTGCGTGAAAGAATTGATAAGGCAAGAGTTTAAAGGCAACACCATTGCAATCTATTCAGATAGAATCGAAGCAGTCAAGTCTATGCAAGTTAACTCAAAACTAGTATGGGACTGCTTAGAAACCCTAAATGCACTGGGCAGTCAGAACAGATTGACTCTAGCATGGGTACCAGCACATACAGGGTACGAGGGCAATGAAGAGGCAGACTCACTTGCCCGAGCAGGAGCAAACAAAGCTCTTAATAGCCCAGAACCCTTCTGTGGTATTGCGAAAGCTATACAAAAGACTAGTATCAAATCATGGATGCAAACCAAATCTCAAGAATGGTGGAATAACTCGCCAGGAATGAGACAGGCTAAAGAGTTTATTAAAAAACCATCGCCAACATTCACAGAATATCTACTAAGCCAGAAACGGAGTTCAACTAGAATAGTGGGACTTCTCACAGGGCATTGTAGGCTCAACAACACATGAGTACGATAGGTCTGACAGAAGAACTGCTGTGCAGGTTCTGTCAAGAAGAGGAAGAAACAGCAGTACACATACTTTGCCACTGTGAGGGCTTGTCAAGACTAAGGTTCCTTACGCTGGGTGAGGAAAAACCAGGAGCCCAGAGATACACAGGAGATCTGAAAGCTAGCCTATGGAGTCTCATAGAGAAGGCGGGGCATTTTGAGGGCAGGCACAATAGATCTGAAAAGGTCGCAGTGTGGAGGCAGATAGCCCGAAGGCCCCATTCCAAATCTAATCTGATCTAGTAGTGACGATGACCTAGATGATATGTTCATTTTTCATGTACTGAATCAGAACGACAATTTAGGTAATCGAAGGAAATTATATTTAATATAATTTATTTGAAATAGAATGTGAAAATCTATTTCGATTTGCGAAAAATTACATTAAAAGATTAGCTAGAGCCTTAGGAATACCAGGAAGCTATAAGTTTTTCAGTTATTTACATTATATTCATTTGGATGAGGTTCCAACGGTCCGTGTCTTCGTAGGGATTATTGCCTACATCTTCCCTTGCGAGATGCGAATCATCTTCCAAGGAAAAGAGAATTATTTTATTTGAATTGTCCATGATTTCTTCGAAGCACAACACAAGAACAAAGCGCAATAAAAAACAAATGTGATGTCATGTGATAAAAGTGAGGTTAAAGTAAAAACCGAATAGTTATCGTTTGTATTCGCTTAGATAGGTAACGTCTTCGTTTTAATGCGATTTGCGTTCAGCGCCAGCGTAGCAAGACGTAAACATACGTCAGACGTATCTCCTGGCGTAGGAAATTCGCATACTGCGCATGCTTAGATGTCAAATTCTACGTTTACGCATTCTGCATTGCTTCAACTCCCTATTTTCTTTCCTATATTCAATTGAAAACAAAGAGCATACTCCTACTAGGTTTTCATTTAGATCGGCAATAGTACTACCAATGAAAATTCGAGGCAATTTTCAAGTTTTGTTCTTTGGGTCGTTTCCATTTTTTGGTATATTATCGAAAAAGAAGTCAGTTTGGCATATGACTATGACTTTTTCCACCGTTGACTTTGATATTTTCAAGCTTGGTTAGTTGGGAATGTTCGTTCGTTCTCAAGAATGTTATTTTTTGTTCTAAATTCCATTTTTCCTCGAATGTTTCCAATGAATTTCCAAAGATGAAGTTTATCATTTAAAATTTGCTCCGAAGTATTCCGAGCCGGTTTTCAGACAACGCATAGAGCAGGAATGTCAAATTCAAATTATAGGTTGATTCAGCCGGGCTTGAGTAAATTGTAACGTTTCAATTGGATTGATTACAAAATCTAACACCAAACAATCGATTTCATTAGTTGAATCTAGGGTCCCTTGATGGAAATTGACGTTAAAGTCATATGGAAATTACGTATGATACGCCAGTGACCTCAATATAACCTAAAGAACAACGAATGTCAAAAATCTAGTGTTTATCCCCAGAATTGAATAAGGATGGAACTATATAACTGTTTCACAAACACTTTAGAGTGAGAGGAGACGAGGATCTGTCCGTACCCTGTTAAGAGTGGTTAAGATGACTTTAACGTCAATTTCCATCAAGGGACCCTAGTTAAATCAATCAAGACGTGACGTCATTGGCATACTTGCGTCACAACAGCACCTAAAAAATTCAATAATCTAGTATTTTATACTAGAATCTAGTACGAACAAGAGTTTAGTTCTAGTACAATAAATTTTCACCCAGGAACACCACTGCAAGCCTAACCTACAAGTTTTTTGCTCGTGTTCTGATTGTTTTGATGTTCTTACATTTTATTTCATTAATTTTCAAATAATCCAATAAATTACCACTGATCATGGAGGACAGCCGTTTCTCGCATGTTAAAATCGACCCCAAATTCCGACGAATATCAAAAAAGGAAAGAAAAGTTAAAATAGACAAGAGATTCCAATCCATGTTTAATGACAAAAAATTCAAAGTGAAATACACCACAGACATTAGAGGACGACCTGTAAACCAGACATCAAATGAAGATTTGAAAAGATATTATGAACTTAGTTCTGATTCTGATAGAGAATTTCCAGATGGTAGGAAATCAGACAGTGAAGAACAAGAGCATAAAGGAGAAAGAAAGTTTCTAAAATCTCCAAAAGAAAACAAGGTGATAAGTGAACTAAAAATCAAGAACAAATCTGATGGAGTTGTTGTCGATGCAACTAAGAAAAAACTTCAGAATCTAGATATTGATTATGCCCGTGGGGAGTCAACATTATTATCAGAAAGCTCATCAGATGATGAGGGTAGTATAGAAGATATATCTGAAACTGAAGAAGTGGATCACAAGTGGGGTGAACTTGACAATGATGCTGAGCTCACTGATGAAGTAACTTCCCGGCTAGCAGCTTGTAACATGGACTGGGACAGAATTCGAGCAATGGATTTAATGGTTCTTTTCAATTCATTCTTACCCTCAGGGAGTGTTATAAAATCTGTTGCTATATATCCATCAGAATTTGGTAAAGCTAGAATGAAAGAGGAAGAACTCAAGGGACCTACAGAGCTGGTAGAAACAAAAACAGACAACAATGATGATAATGAGAATGAAGATGGTTCCAATTATCACATGGAGAAACTTAGGCAGTACCAACTCAATAGACTCAAATATTATTATGCAGTTATATCATTTGACAATGCAATTTCAGCTAATAAAATATATACAGAGTGTGATGGGATGGAATATGAATCTAGCTCTATCAAAATAGATTTGAGATTCATTCCTGATGACATGCAATTTGATGATGAACCCAAAGAAATTTGTGATAAATTGCCTGAAGTTAATAAATATCAGCCAAGGTTCTTCACAACTACTGCTTTACAGCAAGCTAAAGTTGATTTAACATGGGATGAAACTAATCCAGACAGAATTGAACTCACACAAAAACTCAGTTCAGGTAAAATTGATAATATTTCAAAAGCTGATTTGCAGAATTATTTAGCCAGTAGTAGTGGAAGTGAAGAAAGTGAAAGCGATGTGGAAAATGCACCCACTGAAGGTTCAGATGGAGAAAATGGAATAGGCACCATTGATAAGTATAAGGCATTGTTACAAGAAATAGAAGATGATGAGAAATCAAAGAAGAATAAGGATGTAGAAATGGAAATTTCATGGGGAATAGACTTGAAGGAAAAAACTGAGAAACTTGTCAAAGATAAGATGAACCATACTGAGCAGAAAACACCTTTTCAAAAATATCTGGACAAGAGGAAAGAAAAACGAAAAGAAAAGAGAAGCCAGAGGAAAGGGCAAAATAAAGATGATAGTGACTCTGATATTCCTTCTGATATAGATATGAGTGATCCTTACTTTGCAGATGAATTCAACAGTTCTGAATTCAAGAAACCATCAAAAAAATCCAAACAGAAGGTCAAAGATTTTGAAGAAGGAATGGATGAACAAAAGCATGCAGAATTAGAACTTTTGTTAATGAATGAAGATAGTAGCCAGAAACACTTTAGTCTTAAGAAAATACAAGACAGTGAGAAAGAATCAAAGAACAAGAAGAGTAAAAATAAGAAAAAAGCAGCAGATGATGAAATAATTGATAATGATTTTCAAGTCAATGTTCAAGATGAGAGGTTTTCAGCATTATTCACTAGTCATCATTATAATATTGATCCAACTAATCCACATTATAAGAAAACAAAGGCAATGGAGACCTTAGAAAAAGAAAAGTTGAAGAGGCGAACTGATGGGGAAGTTGACAAAGCAGTTGAAATTAATCAAAAAAAAATCAAAAGAAATGTGGAATTGAGTTTGTTAGTGAAATCTGTCAAGAGGAAAACTAATGAATATTTGAATAAATGATACCTGGAATGATGTTCTATTGATTTTTTAGCCTTTTATTCTTCCACATTTTCTCCACATACCATAATAGTACTAATAATATATTATGGCAGTCAGAGGTCCTAGCATTGATGAAATAAACCTCTATTCCATTAATGACTGCATGATAATGTCAAATTAGATGAAGGATCCACTTTGAATTTGATGGAAAGCTGGAGTGAAGGACCATTTAGAGAGAAATGATAAAATAAACAAAATGAACTAAGCAAAATGAATAAAAATGAAATGAAAATATCATTTTTTTTACATCTCGGAAATTGGTTGATTTTTGGGTGTTGGTAGTTTTTTGTTTTTTTTTCGATTTTTCTTACTGTATAATATTCATCATATTGACTACCTATCGACAAATCACTTCAGCAGTTTGATATAAACTTTGAAACGTACTTAATTTTTATAAAGATTTTCCACAAAATTTTTATGGGAAATGACTATACATTCAATTCATTTTCTCACAAACCTAATGAAATTCTGTTTTATCATTTTTGATAGGTGATATTGATAAGATTGAAGATTATAATGATTAAGAAATATGTGGAACATATTAAAAATGAAAAATATAAAAAATGTTAAATTTGGTTAATGATTTCCATAAAGTGTACAGCACATTAGAATAACCCCACGGTGTCCTGCCTGTCGTAGAAGGCGACTTAGAGGACGCTAATAGGTGGAAGATGGTTAACGCCATCGACCGGTGCGATACCACCACATCAACCATAGGCACTGTGAAATGGTTGATGTTCCGACCAACCCAACCCAATTTTCTTTTCCTTCCACGCCAACCTCCCTTCTCTATACAGAATAAGCGATGATGAGTTCTCCTCAAGTAGAATTATCCGGAAGTAAAATACCTCTCCATTCGGATTTCCGGGCGAGAGGTGCTAGAGGGGGTTCACCATCGACTAAAAAAGTCCTCAAGATAGACCTATGTAACATCCGAGGTCTAAATAAGAACATCAACGATGTCCATCGACACCTTCAAATTGAAAAGAAAGACATTGGCTCTTACCGAGACACAGGTCAATTCATCCACCAATACGACCTATCTGCTCTGTCCATTGGTACGAACTCCACACACGTTTCAGATTCAAGGGAGGAATCTCTCATGTCAACGAGAAAGAACTTTGGAACCAAATAAGTTTCATGTCATGTGGTTCAAACTCGATAGCCAGAAACAGACCAAATTCCTTTGTTTCTCTACTAATCACCAAATGATCCATCCTATGAAGAGCTCTTCAAATTCTTGTCTCTGAAGCTTGACCAAATTCAACAGAACCATCCAGTAGCAGAAATCATCATCATGGGCGATTTCAATGTACACAACCACAACACTGCTTTTGCATGGCTCGTACACTCTAACAGAACGGATGAAGCTGGGCGACAAGCCGAAGCTTTTGCCATCACTCACGACTAAGAGCAGCTTATCAAAGTTAAACCCACACGAATTCCCGATGCCAATAGGTAACCATTCAGCTTACATAGTCGACTTATTTCTCACTAATAATTCAGCAACATACACCATAGATGTACGAGCTCCACTTGACAAATCTGACCACACACGCATCTCCACAACCTGCCCATTTTTCATTTCATCAACTGCTCCGGCACCCCCACGTCTTATATATGGCATTACAATTCAGGAGATTGGGACGGTCTCCGCATGTTTTTCTCCGAGTTTCCTTAGCATAGAGTATGCTCGCTTTGACTCTGAGGACCCTTCACAGTGTGCTGCGGAAATATCCGAGATCATCATGCTCGGAATGGACACATCGAAAAGATCATCATCATCGAAACCCTGGTTCAACAAGAACTGTTCTAGAACTGTTGCCTTTTGAAACAAACAGTCTATACCATCGCTGGCGCAAAAACCATAACGTCGCGACTAGGGCAGAATACGTTGATGGCAGGAATAACTGCAGCCAAACTAATATAGATGCTTCGAAAGAAACATACCATGCCAAGATAAGATCGAAACTCATAGATTGTCCCAATGGCTCCCGTTCGTTTTGATCCCTTGCTAAAGCGGATGGAAGAAATTTCACTATATACCGGGTGACACAGGGTATCGGGCCACCCCTGTAACTTCTGCTTTCGTCATCAGATTTTTCTAAAATTCGGTACAGTTATATAAGCAATTATTTCGGATTTGATCACATTACAATCCAATATGGCGGACTTCCGGTATTTCTGGAAATGCCAGCAACTTTGTATATAATAGTTAATTTCCACCACTATCAAACTCTACTTCAGATTCCCAAGGAAAAGTGCCGCCAGACATTCCACCCGATGAGAGTCGAATGCCCGAAATCGTCTTCCGTCAACGCACTATCTGACGAATTTTGCTTGGTCTCAAAACGAATATAAGGCTAACGGTCCTGATGGAATTCCACCCATTATCTTAAAAAAATGTGCACCATAATTAACACCGATTATTGTTGAATACCTAATCTGATTATATTATGAATCACTATGTATTATGTTATATTTGTTATCATAGTTGGGATATGTCAATGATTTTATTGATAATAAAATTATTCAACTGTTAGTGTCAATCAATTTTAGATCTTTGAATAAGAATATAACTTGAAATCTCCAAAAGGTTATGGGCCCAGAACGTTTCTAGTGGCTATAAAGTTACATTGCTGTTAGTTCAACTATAGTTTTCCATAAGTTGGAGGAAAAATTTGCTATTCAAGTTTTGCTACTCAATATGGCTTCATCACATGGATCTCTTCTGCCAATTGAGAAACTTGAAGGTATGGCAAACTACAACAATTGGAAATTTGCGATGCAAATGTATCTTATTCATGAAGATCTGTGGGAATATGTGTCAACGGAAGTACAAGGTCCTGATCCAAAGAAGGATGATAGGGCAAAAGCCAAAATTTGTCTTATGGTACAGAGCCGTCAGCTTATTCCTATGTAAGAAATGCCTCGTCAGCCAAAGTAGCATGGGATAACTTGGCTAAAGCTTTTGAAGATAAAGGACTATCAAGACGGTTGAGTTTACTCAGGAACCTGTTCTCAATAAAACTGTCCAATATTTCAAATATGGAAGAGTACGTTTCTGAGGTCATGTCTCTAACTCAAAAACTGAATGACATAAATACATCTCTAGAAGATGAATTTGTTGGTGTTATCCTCCTGAATGGATTACCTGGAGAATATAACCCTATGGTCATGGCGCTTGAAAATTCCAATCAGAAAATATCAAGTGAATTAGTGAAAACCAAGTTATTAACAGAAGATGCCAGAATGACTCCTAACCAAATGAATTCAGCGCTGGTTGCCAAGAAATCATTCGGTAGATCTAAGAAGCCGAACTGGCAATGCTATGGATGTGGTAAACATGGTCACAAGAAGCCTGATTGCCCAGAGTTGAAAAATAAATCTCCCAGCAAGGAAATTAGTAAGAATTTGAAGCAGAATCAAACTCTGAATGCTTTATTGAATGCACTGGGAGTAAATACAAGTAGCATGGATTGGTATCTTGACTCGGGAGCAACTGCACACATGTCAATGAGAAGAGATTGGTTTTTGGAATTTGATGATAATTCACGTCTTCAACAGATTACCGTAGCGAACAATGAGAAGATGACTAGTGATGGAGTTGGTAAAATACCCATATGCATGTATCAATGGATGCACCAAAATAATACACAATGTGTTGTACGTTCCACAGTTATCTGCGAATCTTCTATCATCAGTGTCCAAACTCATACAAAAAGGACTTATTGTGGTTTTCTCTAGTAATGGTTGTCAAATTTACCATGAAGAAGATTGTGCTATACAAGGTGAGGTTCAGATAACAGCTTCAAACGTTGGTGGAATTTTCAAGTTAGATGTCACAGAGAATCAAGTTTTTGCTGCATCATCAATAGCAGATGATTCTCATGAAATGTGGCATAGAAGACTTGGTCATTTGAACAGAAAATCAATGAATTTGCTCAAAAACGGTCTAGCTTCTGGTGTGGAATTCAAACATCAAGATGATAAACCATGTCGTGTATCCTGTATCGAAGGAAAGCAGTGTCGCCAGCCTTTCAATAAATCAATCAGAAGAAGAGTTCAGCAGAAGCTAGAGTTAGTTCATTCTGATGTTTGTGGGCCTATGTCAGAAAACTCATATGGAGGAGCTAAGTATATGCTTACCTTTATAGATGACTTCAGCAGGAAAATATTCGTATATTTCTTGAAAACTAAAGACGAAGTCAAAGACATTTTCATTGAATTTAGTGTTTTTGTTGAAAACCAAACTGGATTGCGAGTGAAATGTCTTCGGACTGATAACGAAACAGAGTATGTCAAAAATAACTTACATTCTTACCTCAAGCAGAAAGGCATAAGACACCAAACCGCACCAAACCACTGTTCCCTATACACCCCAACAAAATGGTGTAGCGGAGAGAGCAAACCGAACGATTTGTGAAATCGCCAGAACTATGCTCAAGGATTCAAACTGCCATAAAAGAATGTGGGCCGAAGCGTGCAATACAGCAGTGTATCTGAAAAATCGATCTCCACATAGTGCTGTCCAGTTTCAAGTTCCTGAAGAACTGTGGGCAGGTGAAAGAGTCGATCTCAGCCACTTACGAGTTTTTGGTTGTATTGTCAGCCACTTACGAGTTTTTGGTTGTATTGCCTACATGCACATCCCCAAGGAGCTCCGAACCAAATGGGACTCCAAAGGAAAAAGACTCACTTTTGTGGGCTATTGTGAAGACACGAAAGGCTATCGTCTTCTGGATATGATGAACCCTAAGAAAATCATCAGAGCTAAGGATGTTATCTTCATTGAAAATGAATTTGGAATCGGGAATGATACGAGAAGATCTGACATTTTTCCATTGACACTGACTGACAATAAAGTGACAGCTGATACGACAAGTCAGGCTATCCAGACAGTCAATGTACAGGGTACTTTAGAAGATGAGAGAAAGTGACAATGAAGAAGATGCTCATGAAGGACAAGGCAGA